CTCATACGGTTTGATGGGTTGCCCGCGATATTTGTGGGGGATTTTGGCCGCCAACACCCTTGGGGTGAAGGGTGTTCTAGTGCGGAGTTGAATGAGGGGCTCGCCTGAGCCTTCGGCAAGCTTACGCTTCATTTCCTCCACCTGCGCCCGGAGGTCGGCGTACTCAGGATCTGGCCTTGCTGTGGAAGCCGTCGGGGGTGCCTGACGATTCTCTTCGAGTTGACGGAGGAGGGCCTCAATGATTTCGTCCTTGGGATCCTTCGGGGCAACCCCTTGGGAGTTGGCCCGGAAGGATTGCGCCTGTGTGATTTGGTGCCTGGCATCATCGGCATGGAGGGGAGCCTTGCCTTTGCTTCGGGGGGGAGGCACGCCCCCGGCACCCAAAGCGGAGGCTCCACTTTCCTGGGGCCTGCTGAGCGCTTGTTTCCCGAGGCGGTCTTGGACCCCTCGGTGCCCGGGAGCTCCCCCGAGCCTCTCAAGTGCAGAGGTTCGGGGCTTCTCCTTCATCATGGGGCGCTTGTCCCTGGACTGGGCCTCTTGGGAGGCGGTATCCTGCGCCATGACCCCCTCGGCATTGCCAATCCCCGGGGGAGGACTGTTGAACAAAGGAGGGAGTGGTGGTAGTTGGATAACATTTCCTCCAGCGTGGGCCTGAAGGGGCGCCTGGGAGGCGAAGGCTCCTGAGTTGAGAGCCATGTTTTGAACAAAGGCCGCAAAGGCAGCCTGAAGATCGATGGCCGGGGCCGGAGGGGGAACTTGGTTCTCACTCCGATCCCTCCTTCGATTATCAAGGCCAATGCGGGCATCGGGGGCGTTCTTCTGTAGCTGCTGCCGGAGGTCAGCAGTAGCCTTCTCCAATTCGAGGATGATACCACCCTCGGGTACCAAGAGCCTGTTGGAGGCCTCAGCCCCGTTGGTTTCGCCGGGGGCGACGTGGTTCTCCTCCAGAGTTTTGGATTGGGCACGAGTGGTTCTTCCCATTTTTTGGTAAGTGTTTTGTATTTGGTAGAGGGGGAGGGTTTCTTACTTGATAGTTCAGACCTCTCAACGAGAGCACCAAATGATGGATAGTCTACCCGGGGGGTACCTTATCCGAGGGGTTATTGCGGGAATAACTTAGAGAGAAGTCAGAGTAAATAGGAGGAGAGAGAGTCGATTTTATTAAATGAACTCAGTGTGTGTAATCGAGATGTCGATTCTCATTTACAAGGAGAAATGGGCTGCTATTTATAGCAGCAATAAATGCGATGAGAGGACACGTGTCAGTAATCCAACGGCCGAAGGGTCACATCAGCCGGTTGGCACCGGCAGTGGTACGTCCACCGCATTGATTGCGGTTGGCGGATGTGACGCGGCATTAAATGCGGTGGTTGGCTGTCTCTAAAAGGAATCTTCGATGATTGAGCCAGTTTAGCCGAGGGCTCCTTGTTTAGCCGAGGGCTTCCGCTGGTGCCGAGGGCTCCTTGTGTAGCCGAAGGCTTGGTTCAGCCGAAGGCTTCCGCTGGTGCCGAGGGCATGAGAATGCCGAAGGCTCATGTTTTTGCCCGTTTTCTCCCAGCAGCTTCTTATGCCAGAGAGGGCTATCCTGCGAGTTTTGGAGCCTTCGGCCAAGGAGGCCGAAGGCACCCCAGTGTGTATTCTGGGCTACTTTGAGGCTTGGGCCGTTGTATTTGGGCCTGAGTTGTTTCCTGAGCTCAATGGACTTGTGTGGGAGAAGTAGGAGTCTATGGGCCGGGGGTTCCTGGGCCATATACTCCATCATCAGTATAGCCAGCTGCCCATTGGTTGTATAAATAACAACATTTATTTCATTTTAAAGGGTTGTCAACTTACTGTTCTTAGCACTCTAGCTTATTACCTTACTGACAACAACTATGAAATGAATTGTTAACCGTTAATACCTTATTTGTAGGAATTGAACTGAGTTATATCTATTCATTTCCAACGGATTATAGGTTTCGAGGTTCCAAAATGTCACATTGACTGAAATAAAGATGATTAATAAAAATGTTACGGAGTACCTTTTACTCCGTACTTAAAATAATTATAGCAGTAACTTTGGTGAATATAGTTGGGTTCAATTTTACCCTACATTGAGTAGACTTTTTTATTCATGATATTGACTCCGTATTTGAGTAGACTTTTTTAGAAACCTTTGTCTGTACTTCGTATAATTTACTTTCATACTCATGGAAAATAGTGAAATACATACGGGAGTATAAACGCTTATCGAAGACATCGCCTGAGATTTAGATGTGCCGATTTGCTCTCTCTAATTATAGCGCATTGGGTTCTGTGAAAAATGAGTGATGTTTATTGTTTAAACCATTACTAATTTCGGCAAATCATTTCTGTATTTTTTTTTTCTATCATATTTTCCTGTGATTGGTAAACCACGTGAAAAATGGATTAAATATGCTTGGTGTGCAAATTTTGTGTACACAAAATGTGTACATATGTCTGTCTTTCACAAAAAATTTGTCTATCACATACAATTGTTTTTGAGTTGTCTGTGACATACAATTTTTTGTAAAAGACAGACATGTGTATACATTTTGTATACACAAATTTGTACACCTAGCAAAACCCACATATTATCAGACTAACCAAACTAGAAATTGCTATTACAAGTTGGACAAAAACGTCCCTTACTCGCCAATTAACACACAGATTGATCTAATATTGGCTCATTTTCACCATAAACTAACAAATCACAGGTTCTAACAACGGCTTTGACTTTCTTTCAGTTCTAATTGTTGACCAATAAGCAACTAAATGGTGTATAAATTTATATTTTTTTTTTATAGTTATAAATTTATATTTTAAGCAGCTAAATCACGTGCTTTCAAAACAATTGATTTGACTGATAAAATTTCCACAGACTTACCGAGTATAGTACGTAGTATATACGGAGTGGACTACATACTAGTGACAACTTAAAATAAGAGTTGTTTGGTCATTTTCTTTTTCAAATTATCAAGCTTATTAACCAGCTTTATAACCAAACACGAAATTTATGATTTTGCACGCTGAATGGTGTAATACAGAGTAATAAGAAAAAGTAATTTTGAGTTACTTTTCTGTCTGCATTGGCTGAAATTGACCATTTTAGCTATTTTTTCACATAACTTTTTCTTATTATACCAATAACATGTATTTTAAGTATGATTTTTTTATAAATAAACAGAATTAGCCAATATAATCACTTCCGTCAGAACTTTATAAATTTAAGCAGAACTAGCCAATTCAGTGTTAACATATGGATTCTAAATGTGCTAGTTAATACTACGTAATAACTTGAATAAATCTAGTCACCGAACGGTTCATTCAACCGAGAAGACAGTCAAATGAATTTTTGAAGATAATTGCGTAGTTAAACAGCGCAATACATTTCATAAAATCATTTGTCTGTCTTCTCGGTTGAATTTTTATCTGAAATTTGGTATGAGTAAAGTAGACTTAATGATGAAGATGCTCAAAAAATTTCATCAAACAATTCCACCGGGAACTGCCCCAATTGACGACGGCCGAACAAAACCTCCTAAATAAGTGGTGAATTGCACTTTTAAGTTAGTTCTCGGCCTATTTGACCCTTTAGTCTCTTGAAAGATACCCTTTTAAAAGGTGGATCAATTTAAAACTAAAATTTACTCAGAGTGCTACTGTATGATATTTAGTGAGGTCAGATGCAATGATAAAAATTTCTCTAGTCAAACATTTGAGTCTAGATTTCTAAGAGCATCTCCAATGGTTCCTCTTGAGGACTTGCTTGCAATTTTAAAGCTCATAGCTTACCATTGGAGCGTTACTTCTCCTTTTGTTTGAGAAAGCTAATTAGCCAAAATGAGTTACTAGCTTGAGCAAAGAGAAGTACTAAATATAACACTATTAATAATAAATGAAGAGGAAGATGTCATAGCTTACCATTGGAGTACATTTTAATTTTGCTGTAAATGCTTATGTGGCTAGCCAAGCTATGTGGGTAATTAGCTAACGCTGGAGATGCTCTAACACCATAGAAGTCTTAAAGCTTCCTATCTTTGTGTACTTTTGATTAATGAAAATAACAAAATATACAATGATATTATCCACCCACAAAAGTGGTTTGGTGAATCGGGTGATGGATCTAGTGACGAGTTGAATGTATATTTATCTATACTTAATTGAATTCGTTGGTAATTTATTCATCCTAATGGGCTGGAATATATCCATGGAGTAATTTGATAATGCACTCTTTGCAAGCATATCAATGTTTCTTCCTTTTTCTCTGATTCTTTCATTATATTACACTCTTGGTCTATAATTTGAATAAAATGAAAATTGGATGAAAAAGTATGATGGCAAAATCGTAAATATACGAAATGTAAACGTTTGGCTCGTTATGGGGGTGTTTGGATCTGATTTTCAAAACTGATTCTGCTCCTTCAGGGAGCAGAAGCAGAAGCTGAAGTGTTTGAGTGAAATTCCAGAATCTCTTCTGGTGCTCTAATTTACTCTCAGAATAAGTTTTTTTAGAAGCTGGGGATACCAGTTTCTGAAAACTGATTCTGCTTCTGCTTTAAAAAAGAAACAGAACCAAGAATCAGTTCCAAATACACAACAAAAAACTCTATCAAATCGCGTTGGTTACGTACTTCAGATGATATATATAAAGTATAAACCCCTGTTTTCATGGTTATCGTAATGCCTCACCTTTTTAGCTTAAAAATTAATCTCATTATTTCATTTGTATTTCGTATGTGCGATCAAAATGAGATCTCCAATGACTATTACGGAGTACTACGTATTATTTTTTATTTTAACGAAGGTGTACTTATTATAGATATAAATTGATTCAATCCTTCTACCGAGTGAATTCTATCACCATCTAAATTGCTAATAATGTGGCAAAAATCCTTTTAGTTACTATACTCCAATGTCCTACCATAAATAGCACGCCATTATTTTAACTAGTCATCTAACCCGTGCGTTGCACGGGATGAAAAGTTGATTATTTTAACAATAATTAAATTATTTTTACAAATGAGTGCATAATATTGTAATATGGAATTAAAATTAAAATGTTCTCAAATTTATTCAAGGCAAAATGTAAAACTACAAATTGGTAAAGACCTCTTTGTATACAACATTTAATGTGGAGTTTGTCGGTCTACCATTATCATCACATATCAAAAACTTCAAACCAGCTGGACTCGTGACTCTTGATACAGCAACGTAAAGCTGCCCATGGCTAAAAACCGGTCGCCGTAAGAATATCCCAACATTTTCCAATGACTGACCCTGACTCTTATTTATAGTCATCGCATAACTAACCATAAGAGGAAATTGCCTACGCTGAAAGGTGAATGGCAGTTTGACATCAGAAGGAGTCAAGGTAAGACGGGGAATGAAATGCTTTTGGCCGGCAGTTGGCCCTGACAACATTTGGGCCTCAATAACATTTTTTCCAAGTCGGGTCACTAAAAGTCGAGTGCCATTACACAAACCCAATGATTGATCAAGATTCCTCATAAGCATCACAGGGGCACCCACTTTTAATTTGAGCTCATGGCTAGGTACTCCGGAACATTTGATTCCATTAAGGTATTCTGGAGAATGGATCTCTTGCAACAAACTACTATCAGAATCAGACAATGATGCAGAATCAGAGCTGAAATATGTCTTCATTTCTGATGGTAGTTGTGCGAGCATGTAATCATTAACCTTATCCACCTCGTCAACTGTTGGCGCAAGTATTGCTCTTGACATTAAATATGATGGCGAGGTGCAATGTGTCAAGAAATCAGGATATGTACTTTGGACAATAGAAGTAACTGGATCAGAAATCCAAGGCACGAGGAATTCTTCAGGTATGTGAATATATGATTCTCCATCCTCATTGTCACCTAGAACCCCGTCCCCTATCTTTAAAATCCAATCAATGAACCATTGTATTTTTGCAGAATTAAGATCGTCTGATCCACTCCGCACTCTCATGTTCTTCGTTAGCCTTAGTACCTTGCAAAACGGCCAAAGGAAGGATGAGTTTAAAGTCGCTTGCACAATATCTTGCCTGCTACCCTTTGGAATTACCGGTAGAATCTTTCTAAAGTCTCCGCCAAAGACAATTGTTTTTGCACCAAAAGGTTTGCTCCCATCACAACCATATGAATGTCGAAGAATATCCCGCATAGTCCTATCAAGAGCTTCATAGCAGTACTTATTAGTCATAGGTGCCTCGTCCCAAATTATCAATTTCGTCATTTGAATTAGCTTCGCAAGGGCACTTCCTGGCTTTATATTGCAAGTTGAATCTTCCGCTGCTGTGAGTGGGATTTTAAACCTGAAAGTTACAATTCATTGTGTTAGTATTTATTTGAAATTACAATTTTTTAAATCTAAAAAACTGACCTGGAATGTGCCGTTCTTCCACCAGGAAGAAGCAATGATGCGATCGCACTTGAAGCTACGTTCAACACAATATTTCCTTGATGTCTGATATATGCTGATAAGGTCTTCCACAGATATGTTTTCCCTGTACCACCGTGTCCATATAAGAAGAACACACCGCCACGGTTGGCCTCCACAGAACTCACTATTGTCTCGTAAACACGCTTTTGATCCTCTGTCAACGCGGAAATTAATCTATCATGTTCCTCCGCCAAAGCATGTTTGTCATATCTCAATTCCTCGTGTATCAAAACATCATCAAGAGAGGGGATGTCAAGATCCGTTACTCGAGGCATTCCGTCATAGTAGAATAGAGACTTTCCACGATGTTGTAGAAGTTTTTCAACTTCCAACAAACAATAATTCTTTATTTGCTTCTCATCCAGCTGCAATTCTGTAAAAAAAAATGGTTATTGCAAATTTAATATCAATACATTTAAGAAGTAATTAGATTGTTTTTAAATTCTATATGGTTAAACCATTGATTTTGTAGGTGTTATAAACAATCAACACATCCGTAAATTTGATGCTGCAGAAACAAAATATTATACCAACTACTATCTAAAAATAGATTATTAAATTATATATAGAACTATTTATGAACACTTTTTTAGTGAAGTCCTTAATATTTAAAAATTATTTATGACATAAGAGTAAATTTTACCCCGAGATATGCAATTTATTACAACATAAGGGTCAAATATTTGATATTAGTGAATAATAATATTTAAATGTAATATATAAAAGGCAATTTTTAATTTCAAAATATCTTGATTACAGTCCATCTACATTACTCTTAATATTATCGTTTGTTAAATATATCTAAATTTAAGGAATGCCATTACATAATAAACATACCTTGATCATTGAGGTTCTTCCTAATAGTGTAGAGTATATCATCAGATAGATAGGACCAACACTTCTCCCAAACCATACTGGGCATAGATAATGACTCTTGTAGTAAAAGATGAACAAATGTGATGCGAAGTTCATGCGCTGTTGCCCAATGGCTTTGTTCTATAAGTCCATCTATATAGTCTTTATCGTCATTTAACATATTACGGGCAGAGCAAGCTTCTCTAAACGTCGAGTGTATGACTCCATCAACTGTCCTGAGTTCTTCAAAACTCCTTGCACCCTTCACGACACCAAGGAGCATCCTCAAATAATATTTCTCCCCTGCTCCTGGGCGCATGGAATATAGTCTTCCAATTGCGGTGCCTCTTTGTCGTGGTACCCACTCTCTTGTATTGTTTTTCCAGGTGAACTTTGTAGGAAATTCAGCATAAGTTAAGTTCCTAGCTTGAGGATACACATTATTTGCATGCATCCAAGCTAAAAACTTAGTAGCGTGGATAGTAGGACGTCCAAGCACGGAAGTGACAGATTGTTCAGGATTGTAGTAGACGTGATGTTGGTTCGGGAGATGAAAGCTTAGACGTTCAACCACGACGTCCCTGTAATGAATGTGGAATCCAAATATTCTCCAAGCCGCTTCACACGCAGAGATATACCGACAATCGTAATACATTTTAATCTCATCAACTTTTTCTGGCGTACGGTTGTCGGATGCCTCAGAGAATGCAACTGTAATTCGATCATTGCCCTTATTGATGTACTTGAAGAGGTATTTCACTGCCCGAGTTTGGTTACACCACTCGACATTAATGTGAGCCCCGTACTTGAGCAATAATGCACGGTTATGAGGGATGACAAATCTATTGTCAAGGGGGTTCTCATTCTTTAATACACTCCTTCCATTGTCTCTTCTTCTGTAAATAGGAAATCCACTTCCATCAATTGTAGTACGGTTCACAAATTTCTTCGGAAAGTGTTTTGTGCAACGATCATTATCCATACACGGTGAAGATGGGTTCATATGCCCACAAGGCCCATGCACCATTAATTCTTTGACAGCAACATAATAATCAGGATCACATTTCTCATCCGGAATCTCAGCTGAAATAATGCTATCGATGTGTGATGCCAATATAGCTGTGTCCCTTCGTGGTAACCATAAAACAATATGGGCGTGTGGCAATCCACGTTTCTTAAACTCCACCGTGTATACAACTACATAGTATAAAATTGATGGATAACCCTTATATCAGTTTACCATCAAAGGGAAATATAGTTATTGGGCCAAGAGAAAAGTATTCATAATAATGTAATTTAATAAAAATTCACTAACTAATAAAAAAAATCAACTCATACCAGCTTTAACTTCACCGAATAGCTTATTTTCTTTCAGATCTTTTATGAGCATGTCAAGCTTTATCTTGAAAATTCTACAAATGATATCCGGGCGATCATCTGGAGTGAGTCCTCTACACTGAACGTAGCGAACAATCTCAGGCCACTGCGGGTTACATGTGAACGTAATGAAGAGTTGTGGGTATCCCGCCCACCTGCAAATACACATCGCGTCCTGGTAGTTTTGAATCATATAACGTGCACTGCCAGTGAATGAGTTAGGAAGTACAATGAGTTGTCCTAATCTTGATCCATCAGTTTCACCACGACCAACAGCATCAGCCAATCCTGTATAGAGTTCACTTCGCAAGTCCTTTTGATGTAGCCTAATATATGCCAAACGGCATGACTCAATCATGGTATATCCGTCAACAATAAATTGTTGGAATAATCTCTTTGATCTCAATACGTAAGGGCTCTCGCTATTCCTTTCTTGCAATCTGTATGAGAAGAACTCCTTCATTGTAACATGTTTTCTGCCCTTTGTGGTCGCTTTAGATGCACGTGTCAGCTTAACATCCTCTCTGAAACCGTCTTGACCATATGGAAAAAGTAACGGATATTGCAATCCTAGAAAAGAAGGATTCAGTTCTGATATAATTTGAAACTTTCCAGATTTCTTTTGAAGAACAACATCCCTCTCTTTTCGGTTCAAACTGAAGTCCCCTTCAATAAGTGCGGCTACCTCACGAGCAGTAGGGGTATTGTAAGTTCGTCCATCTGATTTTCTTTTACCAATAAGCTTCATCTTCAAAGAGATAGAGTTAGTCTCATTAAACCTATCACGAGCCATCCTAAATGATTGTGCGTGAACATTGTATGCATCCAACATATCTCGTAAATCCGATACTAATGTATCATGTAATGTGGTTCCACCAGAGGACCTAAAATCGATATAGTCATGTATATTAATCTTGAAATTTTAATTTATAAAATAATTCACATTTTGAGGGTATTATAATTTTCCTAAATATTTCAATAAAAAATAAATTAGACTACATTTGTAAAAAATGAAAATTAATTACTGACCTCACAGATGAGATTCTAGATGCAACCTCTTCTTCTGGATCAGTCAAATACATCTGTAGGAATTTTGGACGTTGTCCTTCATTTGGTATTAGGCTACCAATCTTGTGGTAATTTTGACCATTCAGTCTGAATATTGGTGGTGTCCTACCTCTATTTATATCTGTATCGACTCTCCCACCCATCGAAGTGAATGCAAACATAGAATTGTAGGACCTAATGTTATTCAAGAAGTGCTTACTTCTAGGCTCAGAGTGAAATATGAGGTCATTCAAAATTTTAGGTGGCTGCTGCATAGCAGGAAGAACGATATTTCCTGTATTACAACACATTGAAAATTTTGGGCGTTGCTTTACAGAATGTCTCTTTACCCTCTCAGCATACCAGAAAAGGGCCCCACAATACTCACACTCGTGATTAGCATCTCCAAGATCCACATATGCTACAAAATATTATTCATAATAAATGTTAAAAAAATAAAGACTTTTCTCAACCGACTAAATGTCTTAAGAATAGAGTTAAAACATATTAAGGAGTAAGTACCTTGTGTATGGAAACACTCTTGGTCAAAATTAGCATCTGTTAAAAATTGAATGACAAAGAATTAAGGTTATCACAATTTGACCAATTAGGATAAGAAGACATTTCAAACCAGAAGTAAATAGTCGTTTCTCGTGTTTAAACTTATTGTTACGTACCATTATCTTCAAAGTTGCCCGAGTCAAAATCAAGTGACTCATCGAGCATTCCTTCATTTTCAGACTCTGGAAAACGAAAAATATGCAAACATGTTTATTCTGTATAAGTTTATGGACGTGTTTGTGTATAATGTATATGCTATTAGTTTATGATACTTTATTTTAAAATTTTGAAGTTTAGATTTATTACAAAATTAGAGGTGAAATATTGTGAACTAATATTTTTTTTCTCAAATAAATGAGGTTAATACACAGTATCGAAATATACGAAATGTAAACGTTTGGCTCGTTATGGGGGTGTTTGGATCTGATTTTCAAAACTGATTCTGCTCCTTCAGAGAGCAGAAGCAGAAGCTGAAGTGTTTGAGTGAAATTCCAGAATCTCTTCTGGTGCTCTAATTTACTCTCAGAATAAGTTTTTTTAGAAGCTGGGGATACCAGTTTCTGAAAACTGATTCTGCTTCTGCTTTAAAAAAGAAACAGAACCAAGAATCAGTTCCAAATACACAACAAAAAACTCTATCAAATCGCGTTGGTTACGTACTTCGGATGATATATATAAAGTATAAACCCCTTTTTTCATGGTTATCGTAATGCCTCACCTTTTTAGCTTAAAAATTAATCTCATTATTTCATTTGTATTTCGTATATGCGATCAAAATGAGATCTCCCATGACTATTACGGAGTACTACGTATTATTTTTTATTTTAACGAAGGTGTACTTATTATAGATATAAATTGATTCAATCCTTCTACCGAGTGAATTCTATCACCATCTAAATTGCTAATAATGTGGCAAAAATCCTTTTAGTTACTACTCCAATGTCCTCCCATAAATAGCACGCCATTATTTTAATTTTAGTGGATCGAAAAATAAATAAAGTAAAAGTGGATGGCAAAATCGTCCAAAACTTTCCGCGTAACTGCCACAACCCTCCCTGCCTCATCACGCCCCCCTCACACCTCACCGCATTTTCAGAAAACTCCCTCTCGCTCTCTCTCTTAATATATATAGATACTGCGTGGCTAAGCACAGCGGTCCTTCACACTTCTCACCGCTCTTCTTCCTGCCCCTTTACCCTTCTCTAGATTACTTTTTTCTTCCGTTTGAAATCTTCGATCGTTTCCGGTTGTTTCAATGTCAGGACAAGGAGGCGGTGGTGGTCGCGGAGGCAGAGGCGGCGGTGGTCGAGGACGGTCTCAAGGCGGTGGTCGCGCTGGCCCTGGAGGCGGTCGGTATGGTCCTGGCGGTCCGTCTCCTGCAGGGCGTGGTGGTCCCCCACCACCTTCGTACAATGCGCCTCCCGCCACCGTTCCGTCTGAGTTGCCGGCTCAGTTTAGCCGGGTGTCTTTGCAACCTGCGGCAGCGCCGGCTCCAGCACCGGCAGCAGTGCAGGCGCCTGTGGCTGTGGAGAAGGTTTCAACAGAGGAGCGGTTGCCTCTGCCTCCACCAGGATCGTCGAAGGACGTTCGGTTTCCGTCGCGGCCTGGTTACGGTACACTTGGCCAGAAATGTATTGTCCGTGCTAATCACTTTCTGGTGGAGTTGTCTGATCGGGATCTTCACCACTACGATGTGAGTATACTTTTTGATGGAAATATTTTTGTTGGGATGGCCATTATCTGTTTCTCTGAAGAGTTTCTACGCCACTTGTTTTGTGTGTGCTTGTTTATACACTTTACATTGCTTTCCTTGCCGTGTTTTGTATTTTTCTATTGTTTGTGAGTAACAGTGCCTTGTATATGGTCTCGTAGTTGAGTATGTATGATAACGACTTCGCTAGGGACTTTTAATAATACGGAGAAATTGCTTCTATTGCAGTTTCTCTCTTCAAACCGCAGATGTTTTACTGAATATATGTATCCGTATAAAACTTGTAATGATGACTAGTTGTTCATACACTTTACATTGGTTTCCTTGCCTGTGTTTGTATTTTTTATGGTTTGTGAGTAACAGTGCCTGTATATTGTCTCGTAGTTGAGCAGCTGCGGATTATAAACTGGTCATTGTATTATGATAACTACTTCGATAAGGACTTTTAATTATACCGAGTAATTGCTTCTATTGCAGTTTTTCTCTTCAAACCAGAGATGTTTTACAGAATATATATACGTATAATACTTGTAATGATGACATGTTGTTCATACACTTTACATTGGTTTCCTTGCCATGTTTTGTATTTTTTTATTGTTTGTGAGTAACATGCCTGTACAAGGTCTCGTAGTTGAGCAGTTGAGCTGCGGGTTATATACTGGTCTTTGTATGTATGATAATGACTTTGATAGGAATTTTAATGATACAGAGTAATTGCTTCTATTGCAGTTTTTCTTTTCAAACCGCATATGTTTTACTGAATATATAAGCGTCTAATACTTGTAATGATGACATGTTGTTCCTCTTCCAAAACCTCATTCTTATAAAAACTCCTGCAACACATATTTGTAGGTGACTATTACCCCTGAGGTTGCATCAAAAAATGTTTGCAGAGATATTATGGCGAAAGTTGTTCAAGAGTACTCACAATCGCATATGGGAAAAAGGTTGGTTGCTTATGATGGGGGAAAGAGTATTTATACGGCAGCTGAACTGCCGTTCTCGTCCAAGGATTTTTCTGTGAAGTTGGCTGACAAGGATAGAAAGTCAAGGTAAACCCCATTAGTTAGCCCTTCTATGTTTCGTTTTTATTCCCATAAGCCATCAGTGTTGACTGTCTGTGTTGCTTTTGTGAGTGTAGGCCAGACAGAGAATTCAATGTCTCTATCAAGTTTGCCGCTAAACATAGTCTGTACCACCTGCAGCAGTTCTTACAGAGCAAACAGCTTGATACTCCCCAGGAAACAATCCAAGTTCTTGATGTTGCCTTGAGGGCAAATCTATCAACTAAGTAATGCACATGCTCTCTATATCATTCCATTTACTTGCTTTTGAACTTGCATTATTGTTGATGCATACTATTATTTCTGCGTATTTCAGATATCAGGTTGTGGGAAGGTCTTTCTTTGCTTCAACTTTTGGAGAGGGAAGATTAGATGATGGGCTGGAATACTGGAAAGGTTTTTATCAGAGTCTCCGTCCATGCCAAATGGGGCTATCCTTGAATATAGGTACAAACATTAGCAAAGAGTTCACTACACTATCTCATTTTTCTTCTTAATCCTGTGGGGGTACTTCTCTAACTTTGTGTAATCTAATGCTGTAGATGTGTCTGCAAGAGCATTCTATGAACCCAAATTGGTTTCTGAATATGTTTTTGACTTTCTAAAAGTTCGGGACGTTTCTAGACCGCTAACAGACCAAGATCGTTTAAAGGTATCCTAACATACTGATGTCTTTCTGTCATGACGAGTAGTTTGAAAATACTGAAGTCCTGTTGTTCCTTTTCAGGTCAAAAGAGTTCTTAAAGGGGTGAGGGTTGAAGTAAGCCATCTTAAAAACATTAGGCGCTATAAGATATCTGGATTGTCAACACTGCCTGCTAGTCAGTTGATGTGAGTCTATTATTCATGTTTCACTCAATATGAGATTTAGCTGTGTCATTAAATGTATTTAATGGACAAATATCAGTGCTTATTGCACCTTGTTATGCATGTCTTTGTGTGCTCCATTATGGTGTAGTGTGTTAATATTGTGTGTTTAGCAGTTTCATGAAATACGCTAAAAACTTTAGACTTCTTAGTGTTTTTTATTTATTTATTTTTGTGTGTAATAAATCAAGTTCCTTTAGTGTTATAATGTGTTTCTAGTTGAGTGTTGTTGTTCATGGCATCTTGTATATGTGGCAAGTGTTATTTGCTTTCTTGAATGCTTTGAGAAAAAGAAATATTGAGTTACTTTAATCTTGATGGACAATGTGTAGTTTAATCTTGTTAGTGTTGTTTTGAATACAATCATGATCATGTTTCCTCAACTTTTCTAACATATTCCCTAATTTTTGTTTTGGAAAATAGGTTCGAAATGGAAACCGGAGAAAAGACTTCTGTGGTTAATTATTTTAGTAAAAAATACAAAATTAATATCATGTATCCCATGCTGCCTGCTGTTCAATCTGGAAACGATGCCAAACCTGTATATCTGCCAATGGAGGTATTTATCACTTACTTGCCAAGTGATGCATTCTTAGTTTACTGCTGTTAGGTGTTGTCATATGCAGCGTATTAGATAGAAAAGTATTATGCAGTTTTGTAAAACTCTCTGCCTCAGGTTTGCAGAATTGTGAAGGGGCAAAGATATACAAGAAAATTGAATGAGAAACAAGTCAGTGCAATGCTAAAAGCTACTGCCCAGCGTCCTCATGAGAGAGAGAATAGCATAGCGAAGGTAATGGTTTAGAGTTCATTCATCTGTTTATTTAATAATAAAATTTCTTTCTTTTTCATATCAAATCTGCCTTGCTTTCCTGCAGGTTGTTGATTCCAATAAATATAACATGGACAACATAGTTGCTGAATTCGGAATGAAATTAACTGCTGATCTTACTGCTATTGAGGCTCGTGTTCTTCCACCACCAATGGTAAAATCATGTGTTAATATTGATTTTTTGAAATATTTGAGCATTATAGTGTGTAATGTTGTGTATTTGAACCCTGCTAACAGATCAAATATCATGAAAGTGGACGGGAACCTGCCCTTTGTCCTACTGTTGGGCAATGGAATATGATAAATAAGGTGTGCGATAATAGTAGTTACATTAACTGGTGTCTTTTCATTTTTTATATATAATATGTTTCTAATAATTTGTATTTATACCGTCTCACATCAGAAAATGGTAGATCCTGCAAGGGTTGATTTCTGGACATGCGTGAACTTTTCACGATTTAAGGATCCAGAGGGCTTTTGTCATGGCTTGATAGACATGTGTGTTAGCAGAGGCATGGTATGTCTTTTGTTTCACTACAATTGAAGTAATATGTACTCCGTAATATTTATGTTGCCTGTTTCCTATTACATGACTTGTTCATAACATATTAACATGCGCACCTTTATTTTGCTGTAGGTTTTTAGTCCAAACCCTTTGATACCATTTCGTGCTGCAAATCCAAATCAAATAGAGAAGGCACTAAACGATATCCACAAAGAGAGTTGTGCTAGGATTGCTAGCATGGGGTTGCCAACGGATGGAAAGAATGTTCCAAAGCTACAGCTGCTCATCATTATTCTTCCTGATATAACTGGATCATATGGTGAAGTGTCCCCAATCCCCATATTATGTTTAGAAAAGTTCTTTAGCTAACTGTGATTATTTAATTAAATGTGCAACTCTCCATGTCTGTGTCTGTTTCTGATGCTATAGGGAAGATAAAAAAGATTTGTGAGACAGAGTTGGGGATCGTCTCTCAGTGCTGTCAACCTAAGCAAGCTTCAAAGTACAGCAAGCAGTATTTTGAGAATGTTTCTTTAAAGATCAATGTGAAGGTCTGCCTTGTTGTGTTGTGTCCCTTGGAATAATTGCTTGTTACTGTCAATTATTTAATGTGTGATTGGAACCTTTTCAATCTGTAAAGGTTGGGGGAAGGAACTCCTTCCTGGAGCAAGCTGTGCAGCGTAGACTGCCGTATATATCAGAGCGCCCCACAATCATCTTTGGTGCTGATGTTACTCATCCTCAGCCAGGGGAGGACTCAAGTCCTTCCATTGCTGCTGTACGTGAACCACATTCGTGTGTACATAATTTTGTAATTATAATTATTATAATTATGATTATAATATACGTAGTAGTTTCCTAAAAATACTTTCTTCTTACCACAGGTAGTTGCATCAATGGATTGGCCGCATGTAACAAAGTATAGAGGTTTGGTCTCTGCGCAAGAGCATCGTGTTGAAATAATTGAGGATCTCTACAAGTCACACCAGGATCCAGCTAGAGGGATTGTTCATGGCGGGATGATTAGAGAGCAGTTAATTGAGTTCAGAAGGTCAACCGGGCACAAGCCCCATCGTATAATATTCTTTAGAGATGGAGTGAGTGAAGGACAATTCAGCCAAGTCTTGCTTTATGAAGTTGATGCCATCCGGAAGGTATATATATAGTTATGAGATTTAGTTTTTTAGATGTTTTCCTGTTTTGCATGGTCTGTTTTACATTCCATTCCAACATCTTGCCTTTCAGGCTTGTAACTCGTTGGAGAATGGATATCTGCCCCCTATTACCTTTGTTGTTGTTCAGAAGAGGCACCACACCCGCCTTTTCCCATCGAATCACAGTGATCGCCGCATGACTGACAAGAGTGGAAACATTCTTCCAGGTTTCTTTCATTTTTAACACTGCTGGTTTGAAATGCATCTGTAAAAAGTTTAATCCATCAATTGTGTCTGGATAAATAGCAACGATTAATGGTACTCATGACTACATATTTCTATAAACATTCATTTTATTGATAGTGCAAATGAATGTTCTGTTTTAAAAAGTTCAGTGCTTATTAATATGAGAATTAATTTTATAGTGTGTAATTAATGACTGCTTATGTTACTCAAGGTACGGTAGTGGACCGGAAGATATGCCACCCCACAGAATTTGATTTTTACCTGTGCAGCCATGCTGGCATCCAGGTAAACACACTGTAATTATATTTTTATGAAATGACAGCCAGCCATTTTTATCCATTGCTGATTTCGCTTCTTTCTGTATAGGGGACAAGCCGTCCAGCCCACTACCATGTCCTCTATGACGAGAACAAGTTTACTGCCGATGGGTTGCAGAACTTGACAAACTCTCTCTGCTACACGTATTATTTCTTCTTGACTTATGTATTTCGTTTGTGTTTTTTGTTTGTTTATTATAGTTATTGTTTTTAAATTGGAGATAAAAATAATCTTTGATTTTCGTTTTGATTGTTTCAGCTATGCACGTTGCACCCGATCTGTCTCCATTGGTAAGCCGCTTTCATTGATGTCTCTTAATTTCTACGCACATAATTATTACGGAGTATATATTTGTGGGAATATCAATTTATTAACAGTACATATGCTTGTGTAATGTGATGGCAGTCCCGCCGGCATATTATGCTCATCTAGCTGCCTTTCGAGCGAGGTACTATATTGAGGGAGAGTACTCTGACAGCGGCTCCACCGGGCAAGGTGGTGGTGGTGGGCAGGCCACCCGAGAGAAGAGTGCTGATGTCAGAGCATTGCCGGCAATAAAGGACAATGTGAAAGCTGTCATGTTCTATTGCTGAGTGGGTTGTGGAGAAATGTGATTGAAGAATGGCTTGAACATTTCACATCTTTATATTTTTTGCCCGATGACTCTATGTTAGGCTGCTGCACATATTACTCCGTTTGTGGGCTTATGGCTTCTTTTTTGCTAATTACAGGAACTTCAACATATGCTCGCCCATTTCATGTGGGTTTTGACCATCGCCTATAGTATATACATATATTTTGGTCATCCTTCCACATTTATCTGAATTTAGCTCCAATCTAAGGATAATCATTGGGCTCATAAGCCCATTGGGCTACCCATCCCATTTGCCAAAAAAGCCTAGTTTGGCCCGTAAGGTCCATGACCTGACCCAACTCATTAGTTGAAGGGATGTGCATGGGATTGAGTATTTGATGCTCAGCTAAGCCCATTCAGCTAAGCCCATTGGTCTGGTCTGTCTAGACCATCGTGGCCCATCTTATAAAGTTCAGTCCAGAAGCCCTGGTATACATTTTTACACTGATTTCATATTTAGTGGTGTATAGAAGTAATAATGACTAATGAGTAATAGAAGAGAAAATGAAATTTTAGATGATTGTGAGGAGATAAAAATTTGTTATAGAATTATCTTTCAAGTGTGGTGTGGTACTATCGTATTTATAACCTCTTTTTCAAGAGTTCATCATTTGATATAGATAATGATAAAAAAAATCATTTGATATAGATAATTTGAACTTTTCATTGTATTATTATATTTTTTTAGTAATGACTTTTTCTTTAGTTGATTATATTGTATTTTGCATTGCATAAAAAACTTTTTTATTATTTTAGTATTAAACTCATTCTGGTCTAGCATTGCATATTTGCATGAAACGTCTTTGTATTTTTAAATAATTTCAAGTTTACAAGTTGCATCTGTGCAACATTGCAACACACAGGTGAAAAATTTAGTATAAAAATAATGTTAACATTGGATCATAATATAAAACACACATACGTTCTTTCCGTTGTGCCAACACACACTAAAGGAGTGTTTGGATTTGCATAAAAAAAGCACTTTTCAGCTTTTGGCTTAAAAAAAGTTGAAAAGAGTGTTTTCAAATGACAGCTTCTACTTAAATTAATCACTTAAAAGCTAAAAGTTGGAAGCATGTAGAAGGGTGCTTTAAACTGCTTCTAACTTTTTCTATTACACAAAAAGTACTTATTTTACCAAACACTACCAATTTTTACTTTTCCAGAATCACTTTTTTCTCAAACACTATCAACTTTTACTATTAATCACTTTTCTCAAAATCACTTTATAAAATCAATTTTTTAAAATTGAAGCAATTGCAAACACTCCCTAATATGTATTACTCCGTATAATCATTCTATGGATCGAGATGCGATATGGAGTACAAAACATTACAATAGGTATTTAAATTACACACTTGGAAAACCGCTATAGTATTAGTACGAAATACGGAGTATTAATTTCAACTCATCTAAGTATCATCTAATTCAGGCATTTAAGCATTCCAAGTGTGTAAGATCATCTCTAAGGATTAGTGTTGGCATTCAACTGCTTTTAAAAAAGCACTTCTTAGCTTTTGGCTTTAAAAAAGCATTTATTTTTCCAAACACTATAACTTTTATTTTTCTCGGCTTCCGCGTCAAAAGTGTTTTTACTTTTTCTATTACACAAAAAGCACTTATTTTACCAAACACTACCCACTTTTACTTTTCAAAATCATTTTTTTCTCAAACACTATCAACTTTTATTTAATCACTTCTCTTCATTTCATTAAAAAAAGCACTTTTTTAAAAGCAGAAGCTGTTGCAAATAGACCCTTAGTCATGGACCCGGTTCGGGCCGCCCGGCCCGGGACCGGCCCGGCCCGCTACTGTGCGGGACCGGAACCGGCCCGGTTCTCGGGTCCGGGTCCGGGCCTTGTATTTGGCGAACCGGCCCGGCCGGGTCGGGCCTGGGTCCAGGCCTAATTGATTTTTTTTTTTTTTTTTTTTTTTGATTTTTTGGGATACACCCAGGTTGGGCTTGATGGTTAGGAGAAGTTTGGGGTTTTTGGGTGGGGGGGTGAGGGGGTTAGGAAAGGGAAAAAAATATTAACCAAACCGGAGGCTCGGCTCGGCCCGGCCCGCACCCGGACCTGGCCCGGCCCGTACCCGTACCCGGCCCGGACCCGGTGGCTACCCGGGCCGGTCTCGGGCCTTCCTTCCCAAAAAAAAAGCCGGACCGGGTCCGGCCCGGAACCGGCCCGGGTCCATGACTACTAAGGATAGACATACATACATACATCTAACGTTCTTTATAAATCTACATAACAGTGCATGACTTTTGATACTCTCTAGCTCCATATTTTTTTATTTACTATAATAGGTGTTCACACATTTTTTAAGAGTGAAATAATAGGAGAGATGGTGAAAAAGTATGAAAGAAAAGATAAAAAGTAGAAAAATAAGGGTGAGTGAGTATTTTTTAAAGGAAAAATTTACTGAAAAGGGAAAATATAACAAATTTTTGAATACATCCAAAATAGGAAATTGTAACGAACATTAAAATACGAAGGGGTATGTCTTAGACTATTATATTCTACTCCGTAGAATCTAAATCTTATTAGTTTGCACCTATTTGCCTTTATTGAGTATGCTAATGTATTTATCCTTACACTTTGTGTATCTTTCAAATATTGAGTTTGCACCTATTTGTAATAATCCATGCCTTGAGGTGTCAATCTTTCAAATCCTAACCATATATTTTCATGATTAATAGTGAAAAGAAGAAAGGTACATCTGAATCATCCAAAACGCATCCGATCCCAACATGTTGAACTTTTGTTGCATGGTTGTTGTTGAGTAGTTGAAAAAGACATGGTGAGCGTGAGACCACTTCAATTTCAATTATCTCATTGCCTAATTAGGGCCTGTTTGGATGGAGTGTTTGGAAGTGTTAGTAATGGAAGTGTTAGTAAGTGTTAGTAAGGGCTCGGAAGGGAAGAGAAGTGTAAGTGTTAGACATAATTTTACCTTGTTTGGGAGAGTCAAATGAATGAAGTGTTAATAATGGAAGTGTTAATAATTTTACCTTGAGGCAAAAGAAACGAGTAAAGAGAAGAGATGAAAAAACAAACCATCAGACCCATGGGAAAGACATTCGAAGTGAAATGTCGAAGCATTTTATGTTTTTCGGGTAAATGAGAAGGGTAATAATTGTCCAACACTTCAAAACACTCCAAATCGGGGTGTTAAAAAAATGGACAATTGAGGTGTTGGGAAGGTTATTATTAACACTTCCCAACCATTACTAACACTTCTTAACACCTCTGGATTTTTCTCCCAAACAAGTGTTAACATCAACACTTACTAACACTTCCATTACTAACACTCCTCAACACTCAATCCAAACATGCCGTTAGTTTCCTGGTATTCATCTCCATCACCGTGTTGATCATCTTTGCCATTTGTTCTTCAAACTGAAAAACTTGGAATATGTAAAATTTCTGCTGGTGATGTCTCTATAATGATTTAGATAATAATAATAATAATAATAATAATAATAATAATAATAATAATAATAATAATAATAATAATAATATAATATGGAGCTAGTTCCGGCATAGTGGGACAAATTGCTTATTGTTGTAAATCCGTGGGTCGGACAGCAGTAGGCCGGCTCTCTGGGTAAACGGATTCAGTTTTGTAGAAAGCGCCTGTAGTATCTTCGTAAATTCTTGGAAGAATATCTTGACTTGCTAGAGCAGGAAAATTTATTTTGGAGACAGAGGGCGAAGGAATTTTGGTTTAAAGGAGGGGATCTCAATACTCGGTTTTTTCATAACTCTGTGAAGCAGCGGAGGAAAAACAGAGTTGAAGGGTTTCGGTTAGAGGGAGGAGGGTGGGAGACGGACAGGGCCGAAGTGGGTCGCATAATTGGCGATAATTTTGCTAATATTTTTTCCTCTATGCATAATACTGGTGATTTTATTTTCCATTGTGTTTCAAGGAGGCTGGAGGATTCTCACAATGCAAATCTTCTCAGACCTATCAGGGGATGAAGTTAGGGAGACTCTATTTGATATGTTTCCTGAAAAATCACCGGGCCCAGATGGATTGAGTCCCCGGTTCTTTCAGCATTATTAGGATGTGGTAGGACCTGATGTTATCAAGTTTTGTTCAAATGCCTTTCAATCAGGTAAACTCCCGGGAAAAATTAATCACACTAATATTGTTTTAATTCCCAAGAAGTAGAATCCTGAGGTTATTGGTGATTGGCGGCCCATAGCTTTATGTAATGTCATTTATAAGATTTTTCTAAAGTATTAACAAATAGACTGAAAGCTGTTTTGGACTTGTGCATTTCTGAGCAACAAAGTGCTTTTATCCCGAGCAGATCAATTATAGATAACATTATGATTGCCTTTGAGTCTCAACATTATTTGAAACGCAAAACTCAAGGTGCCACAGGTTTGTTAGTCTTAAACGACTAGATATGAGTAAGGCCTATGACAGGGTGGAGTGGCCTTAGGCCTGTCAACGGGTCAGATACGAGCCGGAGCTATAAATTCCATATCCATATCCGTTGAAATTATTTTGGTCCAGATCCGGATCCATTTACCTTTCGGGTCCTAAACATATGTTCCAGATTTGGATCCGTCGGGTCTCGGATCCGGGCCGGGTATACCCGCAAAAAAATACTAAATGACATATGCAAACAAATATAATATACAACAAAAAATTGTTCATGTTGGAAGAGATCAAATATAGATAAGCAAAATGTTGTTTTGTACATTACTCCTCATGAACTATACAATAATATACGAAGTATGTTATATGTATATTAGTGAACTCTTAAAGAACCTAGAACAATAACTCATTAGAGAAAATCTCATTATAGTGGGCCAAACTCTAACTAAGCCTACAAATATTAAAACATTTTTATGTTTGATATTTTCCTTGTTTTATGTTTAAATATTTCTATGTATATTGTGTGTGTATATCTAAAAAATTATAACTATAATTATTGCATCACGGGTCGGGTCCAAAACGGGCCGGAACTTAAAAAACCATATCCGATTTATTTTTTCTATCATTTAACGGGCTCGGGTTCGGATCTGGGAAACGGTTCTAAATTCAGACTCATACCCTCAAATAAAATGTCGGATTCGGATCAGGTCCGGGTCTAGACCCGACCCATTGACATGCCTAAGTGACCTTTTTTGGTGTGTATGTTGAAACATATGGGTTTTGCCGATCGGTGGATTAGTTTGATTATGGAATGTGTGTCCTCGGTTTCTTATTTAATCCCTTTTGATGATACCGAATTAGGACCTATTTTTCCTACGCGTGGGCTATCAGGGTGATCCTTTATCACCATATTTATTTATTTTGATAGTAGAAGGTTTGAGTGCTTTATTGCAAAATCATGAGAGGGCAGGGCGCTTGCACGGGGTGGCGATTGCACGCGGGGCCCCAAGAATTTCTCATCTCTTTTTTTGCGGATGATAGTTTGCTATTTTTTAAAACTTCTCACGGTGAAGCCTCTGTTGTTAAGAAAGCGCTGAATGATTATGCTCTAGCGTTGGGAAAGGTAATTAATTTGAGTAAACCAAAACTTTTCTTCAGTTCTAACGTCCAGACAAATTGTAGAGAGGGGCTTAAAGAGCTATTGGGGTGGGTTTGGCAGGAGGTGATGAGCGGTATTTGGGTTTGGCAGCTATTGTTGGGCGTAATAAAAAAGCTATTTTGGCTTTTCTTCGTCATAGAATGGGGTGTTTGACGGAAAAGAGCACACTTTTTACATTGTATTCCAAAAAGTGCAATTTTTTTGACGTTTTCTGAGAGAGTGCAAAACGGAGTTGACAGACAGAACGAAACTAGTTTTCGGAGTTACCAAACTCGAATATGGACTCCGAAAAATATGGTGGGAGGCCATTTTCGGAGTTGGCAAAGCCGAAAGTAGGAGTACTTTTTTTGTTGCCTACGAATTGTTTTGTTGTGTTTGTTTTTGTGTTTTGAACTTTTTTTTATAATTCTTGTTCAACATAATTAAAAAACATACTTAAGTTTTATTTGTTCAACATATTTGTTCAACATAAAAAAACATACTTTTTTTTATAATTCTTGTTGCCTACGAAAAAACGTATTTTGTTCAACATAATTAAAAATCATACAATATTTGTATTTTAAGTTGAATTTGCGTCTGATTCCCGATTTAGATAAAAACATGCGTTTTACGAAAATTTGACCCATTAAAATGAATTAGCACACATTTTACAAAAGTGACTCATTAAATGTTTTGAGCACAAATAGTAAAAAATTTGTTACATTTACATTAACAAAATAATTTGTTGAACGTAATTCAGATTAAAAACCCGTACCCATTAAATAATGTGAACCCCGGAAAAGATGATTAAAAGTATCAATATGTTAATATATTTACAAGAACAAACTACATTGATTAAAAGTATCAATATATTAAATCAATGTGACGACTTTTAAAAATAGTTGACCCATTCAGTGTTATGAACTCCAAAGTAAATACAAATACAGTTTACAATATAACACGTTTAATTTATAAGTGACCCATAAAGTCATACGAATTCAAAATTAAACAAAGTTCATTGCACAATAAGTCATATTAAAGGTACACATAAAACATATGGCTAATAAATATTTTACAACATTAAAACAAAGTACAAAAAAAGATAACATTATAAGAGTACAAATACAAATCAATCATGTTGTCCTCTCCGTCTTGGACGCATATCCATCTCATTTGGAAATCTTGTTTCTTGACGGCGCCCAGCTCGAGAAGTTCTGGAAGAGTACTTAGGCGGTAGAAGAATGAACTCATTTTGTGGCCACTCATTCATATTCGGAAATGGCATGATATCACTGGAATGTGCATTTATGTAACACCGGACCCCAATTTTACCCAGATAAAATTTTTTCGTAAAGTACTTGGTTAAAGAAGGTGAATCAAGACTAAGAGTAGTCTTGATAAATGAGAAAGTAAAATTTTGTCCTAAATTAATAAAGGGTTATTAATTTAGACGTGGGACCACTCGTGGTATTTCAACTTTATAAAATATTATTGTTTTCCAAAACGATACTATTATGATAGTAGGTATGGGTGGTGGACCCCAATGATATAAAGAGCGACGACTAGACAGCCAAGCGGGTCGGGGTCTCTATCCGAAAATTGTGAATCATTAATCATCGGACTGATAATAATTCAGAAGGCTACGAATTAATAACACAAGGAATATAAATATTTTAGGAACCCAAAACATGGGATGATGGATAATAATGAGCAACTTGACATGTTAGAGGTGGGTACTTTTGGAGGACCCTACCTTGAAGATACTTTTGTATAAGAATAAACAGATAAGATTTTATCTGCTTATACAGTTGGGATCACTTAAAAATAAGTGTGACATTTTATTAAAGTGTCACAAAATATGAAAACACATATTTAGTCATTAGGAATGATGAATGACTTTTTAAAGTAACTTATTCTCATTTTTACCGCTACTTGAACGGTAAAAGGCACGTTGGGCCCACACATGGGCGGGGACCATCCGATATTTACGGACCACATATTATATTCATCTTGGTTTAGATAATATTTATATGATGGTGTAAATTAAGGTTGAGCCATAAAGTTGGTCCTTCGATCAAACGAGGTCCCATTACCGATATAGGTAATTAAACAGATAACGGCCCGGGATGAATCCCGGGGACCACTAAATTAAAGTTGGGTAATATATATTCATTATAGAGGCCAATATTGATTGGAATAATGATGTATATTTTATTTGACCCGATAAAATAAAATTTACTTAAAACAGTCCGGAAAATACAACTTTCGGAGTCATTATTGGGGTGGTTGGAAATAATGAGGTTAGGTGTGGAGTGGATGAGTGCGTATTCCGGGATATTTTATCTGATCGGTAATATTTTTATCTGATAAAGTGTATTTTTTTATCTGACCGGAGACATTATTGGGGTGGTTGGAAATAATGAGGTTAAGTGTGGAGTGGATGGGTGCGTATTCCGAGGTATTTTATCTGACCGAAAATATTTTTATCTGATAAAGTGTATTTTTTATCTGACACGAGAAATAGTATGTCATTTTTTCTATTCACCCACTTTTATAGAAATATTAAACCTTTTTCTACAATTATTACTACTAATATAATAAAAAAAAAGATTACTACACTTATTACCGACGTAAAATTGACTCCGTAATATTTCAAGTCATAAATAAATGGGATAAGGGTCAGATAGGGCCTCGAACTCGAAAAAGAATGTCAAATAAGGTCATATTTAGGATGCTCTGTCCGGCCGACGCCATTTGGGGCGGTTCCAGATGCCATTTTTTGATGAAATTTTTGAGCATCTTCCTCATTAAGTCTAGTTTACCCATACTAAATTTCAGCTAAAAATTCAACCGGGAAGGTAGTCAAATGATTTTTTGAAGATAATTGTGAAGTTAAACAACGCCGTACATTTCGGAAAATCATTTGACTACCTTCCCGGTTGCATTTTTAGGTGAAATTTGGTATGAGTAAACTAGACTTAATGAGGAAGATGCTCAAAAAATTTCATCAAAAAATTCCCTCGGGAACCACCCCAAATGGCGTCGGCCGGACAGAGCATCCTGAATATGACCTTATTTGACATTTTTTTCCGAGTTCGAGGCCCTATCTGACCCTTATCCCTAAATAAATATATGCACACATTAATAACAGAAATTGTATCTAATTATAAATAATAATACTAATAATAATAATAATATTAATAATAATAACAATAATGAATAAGGAGGAGGAGGAATAAGTTACTAACCTTTTGAGGGGTTGAGAGGAGGTTGAAGGGGGGCTCGGATGAAGGTATGGGAGGAGGCAGGTGGGGAGGTGAATTTATAACAATAAAACTATCCTCCGATCTGTAGCCAACCTATCACGAAACTTTTTATTTTCGGAGTTGGGAACTCCGTTTTGACTTTTTTTGTCAAAAAAATTGGAAATGTCTTATTTGGAAACACGTGTTACAAATATGCTCTGTTTCGTCATTTCCTCCATAGAATGGTAAACCAGATCAATAATTGGAACAACAGCTTTTTGTCTAAGGCCGGTCGGGAAGTTCTTCTCAAATCTGTTATTAGGCTATGAATGTCTTTCTTCTTCCTATGGAGTTATGTAAGGAAATTGAAACACTCATGAATGGGGAAGTCTTGTAAGGGATTCGTTGGAGATCTTGGGACTTTATGTGTCGTCCTAAAAATAAGGGGGGCTTGGGTTTTAAGAAGCTTAGAGAATTTAATATTTCTTATCTTAGGAAAACAAGGATGGAGAATTTTTTCTCAACCGGAGTCTTTAGTTGGGAAAGTGTACAGAGCCAGATATTTTAGAGATGGGAGTTTTTTGACAGCTAAACTTTGGAATAACCCTTCTTTTGTATGGCAGAGCATTTTTCAGACACAGGAGGTTATCAGAAAAAGCTATTACTGGCGGGTGGTTACTGGGAAGTGGTAGTGCTATTAACATCTGGACCAAGCCTTGGCTTCCGGATGAAAGTCAACCCATGGTGATTACAGCACCCATTTCGGGTCAAGAGGAGGACAGGGCAGAAAGTCTTTTTTGCAGTGATGGGAGAAGCTGGGATTTGGATATTCTCAATGATTCATTTGAGGAGCGTGATGTCCAATTAATCCAAGGTATGCCGATTAGCCTGAGATCTATGCCGGACAGATTATGCTGGCGCTGGGAGTCATCCAGACTCTTTTCTGTTCGTAGTTGCTCTAGGGCATTGATTGGAGAGTTTGTGGGGGGAGAGTGGGTTGGAGGTGGTCGTCTACTGAGGAGCGGCCATTTATTGAGAAGTTGCAGTGGGAGTTTGAGACAAGAAAGAAGGACGTTTTATGCAGAATGATTTGGGGCTGCTGGGAATTATGGTGCGAGCGGAATAACAGGGTATGGAATGGAAGCTTGACAGATAGCAAATTGATTTTGATGAAGGCTAAGGTGTTTGTAGAAGGCTGGAGTTTGGCACAAAAGGGATTGGGCAGCCAGGTTAAGGAGAACAGTGGTCTGACTTCAGTTTGGAAAATGTCCTCGGCTGGAGGGTCACATTATCAATCTCAATCTTTTTCATTTTAAGTTTATTGCTATTATCGAGTCAATATACGACGCATTTTCTATATTAACTCGGTAATAAACTCTTTTAATGAAAGCGTCTCGTTATTAATAAATACCCTCGATGAAATGGAGATACTCCTCGATTGAGTACTCGAGAGGGAGATAGTTAAAGAGATAATCGGGATCGACGAACATTTCATTTAGTGGATATAAGCAAAACCAAGTCTCATCTCTAATTAATTAAACCACATAAGTCCATCTTATTGTTTAAATATACTTAAAGTTCAAAAAACATTGTCAAACCCCTCTTTGTTACTATTATTTAATTAAAAGAGAAGTATTCATTTCACTTTATACAAACCTTAATTACTACGTTATACTACATATAATTGTTGTATTGAATATTTGTTTTGAGGCACACTACGACAAAGTGTTGTCAGTATTCATCGATCGATTTTAATAATAATTAATATATGATGAAACAAAACTAGTTGATCTTTTAGGTAATGCTCATATGTTAATATGGATATAAAATAGGAATGTAATTAATATTCAAGAAAGATGATTTAAAAAAATAACTCACAACTTACAAATCATAAGCTTTAACGTAGCAAAACCAAGATGGAAGAGTTTAGCTCCTCATTTGGAGACTAAACATGATAGAAAATATAAAGAAAACACTTAACTAAACTGAGCTAAAGACTATATGTGAATTGTCGATTTTAATGGGAAGTAAAAGGAGTGTATTTATAGGCTTTTGGAGGTGACATAGTCTGATACCCGACCGGGTATATAGGATACCCGATTGGGTATTCAAGGCATTTTCCCGAAAAATGACTTTTCAGGACATACCCGGTCGGGTATGTCGGTATAACTGGTTGGGTATGAGTCAAATCTTCAAAATCCTACATGTTGTGTTGTCTTCCAAATTCTGGTTTTGACATCCGAATCAACTCAATACCCGATCGGGTATTGCTTATACCCGAACGAGTATATGAAATATTTTTTCAATCTTCTTTTATCTTGTCGAGTATGTCGGCATAACTAGTTGGGTATGAGTCAAATCTTCAAAATCCTACACGTTGTGTTGTCTTCAAAATTCTGGTTTTGACATCCGAATCAACTCAATACTCGATCGGGTATTGCTTATACCCGAACGAGTATATGAAACATTTTTTCAATCTTCTTTTATCTTGTCCCCTCGCACTTTTTTTTTTTTTGATCTTTTGGGGTCCAATATCGGTCCTTTGGATGATATTGACCTGTTTTAAGCTCAGAATAATCTCAATATAAACGAATTACAACTATCTAGAAAAAGAAAGCGAGTACATCAAAAGTGTGTAATTTCCACAACAACAATGTAACTAATTGAAAACCAACTATACATCATAAAAATATAACAATATCAATATGTTGTCTGTTTTTTCATATAGTTGGAGCCCTGGAGGGAATTTTTTCGATGACATCTTAAGAAATATACAGAGTAATATTTTATTGACAATTCTACTCTTATCATTATTGATTTTTTAGATGACACTTTAGATTGTCAGCATAAATACTTAAGTGACAAAACAATTGTAATTAAAATAGCTATAATTGATGAATTTTTTTTACAATGACGATTTGCATGACTCTATTATGACAATTTTATTGTTACTATAATTAATTTATTTTTAGAGCGTGATGTTAATTGTCACTATATAATACTCCGTACTTGTACATTTTATTAACAACATCGTATGTGGTCATCTATTGTGTTAAATAAAAATGACAAAATTACTACTTTGATGACGAAAACATCGACACTAAAGTGACATATATTTTGTCACTAAAAATGATTATTAGTAATGATGACCAATAGCTAAATCGTCATCAAATATAGATAAATGAATGTCGAATTCAAAAAGTGTCTCATATTTCTTTTGCCACAAAGCTACGATGACAAACACTATGACAAATAAAAGTTGTCATATACTCCGTATAAGTTTTAGTGTCTAAAATTGAAGCTCATGTGACAAATATTGTTGTCACATATACCACGGTATATATGAACTCTACTATGCTATAAATCGCCGTATACCATGATACGAACTTTACTACGCTATATACCACGTTATTAGCTCTTAGTAGGGAATTTATTTTGAGCCACATGACGACTTTAGTGTCATCGGTACGTGTTGAAGCGTGATAATAAAAAGGCAATTTACTTGACAAAGAACTTAACATTTCATTCCCGCATGAAGCACATAATTACCAGGTACCATTGGATCCGAAAAGTTCCTGAGGTAAATAATTATATTGCATCTTGACAAGGTTCACACAGACGAGAGCTAGTCAAACATGATAAACAAGGTAATACCAACAAAGAAGTTTGAAGATTGCTATCAAAGTCCAAGTTTGCTACTACCCCCAATTAAGTCAGGAGGGAGAGATTTGTTGTGGATCCCTCCTTAATTGGAGAGTTTCTATAAACTCTAGAGCTTTCTAGAAAAGTATAGAAATTTCTAGAACCACCCGGAGAACTCTAGAGAAGTATAGAGATCTCTAGAAGTTTTTAAAATGGTGTGGAACCCTCTGCAATATTCTGGAGATGTGTGAAAGGCGTAGAAACTCTTTAGAGCTCTCTAGAATATGAAGACATGTGTAGAACATTCTAGAGAACTCTTCTCCACCATTCATTCCGAACCATCCTAGCTAAGAGTGAATTCACTTCTTACAGCGAGAAAGTTAGAGTCTCTTAGATAAAGAAAAGCTATAGCTTGGAAAGTTCATTCTTCACTCTGGTACTATAGAATGAGTTAATTTTGTAAACACGTCCTTCTAAATTTTACTATTGTTTTGTATAGTGGAAGAATCTACGAATTGGAGAATTATACTTGTGCGCTCGCATTACTGCATTATACGTAGTATTAATGCTTAAGTGTCTATCTTAAGATATACGTATTTATATCTTAACATAAATAAATAAACACAAACTTCATATTGTGATGCTCACAACTTAATACAGCATATCTGCATATATAATCATAAAATTATGTCAAAGTAAAAATGCCGAATTCAATTAGAAAAGTCGGGCACGACTCAGTTCGTAAATGGCAAAATACAGCAACAATGAATATCAAATAAATAGTGTATGACTTGATAGTTCTTGAAAAAAAAACCATACGCAATGAATAGTGTATGACTTGTTGATTATTATACACGTACTCCGTCCTCTACACAACGTATATCTAATACCGTTGCTGACAAATACCGTTTCCCCACCTACAATACGCAACAACATAAACAAAAAGTAGAATTACATGTAGTGTCGGTGCAAAAACAATATTTTTTGAAAATAGGGTGTAAAGTCCAATTTGGACAATAAAATGAGGGTGAAACTCAAATTACCCCTATAAAATTAATGGGCAAAGTGTAAAATAATACTCCCTCAGTTCTACTATTATTGTCCCAGTTCCGATTCACTTAGTCAAGGCAAAATCACTCTTAATCGCTTACTATTATGAAATTACGTTTGTTGAATTTTTGTTTACTATTATGTCAAGCATCCTAGACTGTTTTGGGACAATAATAGGATGAAGGAGCTAGTACTCCGTGGTCCGCTTACGTAAAATTCTAAATCCATGCGGTGCTTTGGAAAGGAAGGATTAGTGGGAAGGGATCGATGAAATTATTACGGAAGTTACAAAGTAGAGATCGATCAGACCTATTGGTCCAGCCGCAATTGAGGGGCCAGAAGTAGTGTACGGCGCACTTGTTGGGGACATCAAAACCCCGCGGCAGCCGGGAAGAGTAGGACAACTTGCAGGTGACCTGAACCTGCCCATAATTCGATTTGTCACGGAACCGAAGTTGAGCATTCATCTTTATGACGGCGGTAGAGCCGTCGTGAAGGACCGCGGCCGGTACAGGAAAGGTGAGGGTAACGTTATTCGAGGCCCGGGGAGGCTGCAAAAACGCCACCGCTGTGGCGTTCGCAACCTGCTCCAGTGCCCCGGCACCACCCAAGTAGAGTGATGATTGGGTGGTGCCGTAGTCATTGGTGTATTTTCTTTTGTTTCGGTTGCGGGTGTTGAGGATGAAAGTCACTTTGCCGCCGCCGGTGAAACGACTGCTGCGATTGGTGGATAACGGCCGCGCGTCCACTACGGAGTAGGCGGGAGCTTTTGGAATGGGGTTTTTGATATAATATATAGAAATGAGAATGACCGCAAGAGCTAATAAACAAAAGAACGCCGCCATCATATAACAGCACATCCTTCTAAAAGATCTACGGGCATTTCTCTCCAGTTCACCTTCCTCGCTGTTAACATTAATATTCATCTTCAAAACTAAACAATGAAAAACGAACGTGAGTTGGAAAGGTTTAATTTTTGAAGTGTAGCTTTTATGTTTAAGGTTCAAAACCTCTCACATCTCTAATATAGATACGCTACTAGCATTTTAAAATGTTCCTTACACCGAAAGTAAGGAACAATTCCTCGGGATACCATATCATTAAGTAAGCCAATCACCGATGTACTCTTGGTATCTGAATTGTCTATTCTAGCCTTTTTTCGTTGGGGATATATGACTTAATACTAATATGCATTCTATTAATTATTTTAAGAACTTGAAGGGGCTTAACACGCCTTTTACCTCAGCATGAGGTAACGCATGGCGTTATATGTAGGCTTAATACGGAGTACTACGTCTTTTGCAACGTCAAGTTCATAAATACGTCACTGCACATCTTCCTTCAGTCATGCTATGAAGAAGAATTCTAGTTGTACGGAAAGTCCGCACACATTTACTCCATAGAGAGACAAGTATGCCAAAGATGTGCACAAAAACGTGTACACCAAGCACGAGTCTTTCAGTAAGGGATAAGGGTCAATTTGGTTCTCAAAGTTGCAAAAAAGGGGGTCAAATAAGTCCTTATATAGAAGATTCTGTCCAGACGTGCCATTTGAGGTGGCTCCCGGTTGAATTTTTTGATGAATTTTTTTGAGCATCTTATTCATTAAGTCTAGTTTAGTCATACCAAATTTCAGATAAAAATTCAATGGGAAAGACATTCAAATGAATTCTTGAAGATAATTGTGCCATTAAAAGCGCTGTTATCTTCAAGAATTCATTTGAATGTCTTCCCGATTGAATTTTTAGCTGAAATTGGGTATGAGTAAACTAGACTTAATGAATACGATGCTAAAAAAACTTTATCACAAAATTCCACCGGGAGCCACCTCAAATGGCACGTCCGGACAGAATCTTCTATATAAGCACTTATTTGACGCCTTTTTTGCAACTTCGAGGACCAAACTGACCCTTTACTCCTTTCAGTAATGAGCAAAGACAAAATTACAATTAAAATAAT